GAAAGAGGGGTCCGCGAGCCGGGGACTAAAGGGTTCGCGTTATTCAGATTAGGGTCCCGGGTATGGGTATTCGAGACACCCTTTCGTGTATACAGTACCACTCGAGCCTCTCGATTTTCGGCACAAGTGCCGCTACCCTGTTGCAGCGCGTGCCGTACATAAATATCACCGGCCCTTCTTTTTCTCTCGCCAACCCTTTATTCATCCGCAATCAGATATACCGGTTACGAGATTGTAGTCATTTGAAGAAGAGAAAGAAAAAAAACTACCTTCACACCTCTCCTTCCACAACCATGTAATTTTTCTAATCGTACACACTCTTTGAAAAATACACCCCCCAAAAAAGAAGACAGAAAAATATAGACTCGAAAAAGACATCTAGATGTGCGAAAAACGAGAGAGCAAGGAATGCCCCCACGCGTCCTCGTAAAGCTCCTGCGCGGCCCCGACTCACGGAATCAGAGCGCGTAGATATTATTCGCGCCTCTTTCGTGAATTCGCGTCGGTAGGGGCGTCATTAAAATCAATACCAGCTCGCTCTCCGCTCCGTCTCCCTCGCCTTTCCCCCGCCCCCGCGCACCACGTCCCGGTTTCATCTTCATCCCTCGACGCTATTCATCCTCGTCGCACCTCGTCGCTATATACATATATATGTACGTGCGAGGGTGGAAGGGGATGCTCGCGTTCCTAGCCTCGACGTTGGTGGGGCAGAGTCGAAGGAGAAGAAGCAGAGGGAGAGAAAAGGCGAAAAAAAGGAACGTGCAGGAGTGGGAGGGGTGTAGGGGCGGGGAGGGAGAGCGACGCGATAAGAGGAAGGGTGCTCGGTTCGCAAGGTTAGGTAGCCGGTACACGCGATAAGGAGTGGGGGGTGGCGTTCCCATGGCCAATAAGAACCTCTTTAAAGCGCCCTTTTTGCGCGCGGAACTGCGCATGCCGGATTCAAATCTGGCCGTGGCTGGGTATCGAGTGGAGGCGGCTGTGGAGGTGGTGGTGGTGGCCGGTGGCTGTATGGAAATATGATAGCGCGATAAAAAGAGGAAGAATGGCAGGGATGGTTGTGTGTATACGCGAGGGAAAAAGCCCACTCTCTCTCTCTCTCTCTCTCTGGGGTGGGGATAGACGGCCGCGACTGCCACGACCAATAAAGGCCCAGTTTAAAGCGTCTGATTTTTTTGCAACGGCACTGCGCATGCCGCATTCAAATGCTCGGGAGTGGTGGGTTTCGATGTGTGTGCATGGAAATATGATAGGTGAGAGACGACCGGTTTCCGAGGAATGGCGGACGGGGATAGGGGTTACTGAATATTTTCGTACCCCCGGTGGGGTTATGATAAGGTTAGAGTCGGTTCGAAGAAGAATGGCGCCCGGGATGGATTTCCGATGTTGCTTTCGCGAGGATTCCTTCGATGGATATTTGAAACGACGTTGAATTCAAATTTTCTCGTATCGCTCAATATGGCGGAATCGATACGTTCGATTCGATAAACAAATATGTCCGCCAACTTTCCCGCGTCGTTAAGACGCCATTAACGGTTGTTCGTAATGTGTTCGAAATGTTACGCGTTGTCGGTTACGTATGAATAAATTTGCCGATACGAATAGGTCGAGCGATCTGAACGATCCCATTGTTCGAGGGATCGTTGAACCGAACAGTTTTAACCTACGAAAGTACCCACCTGCTGTTCACCTGAGATTCATCGTACCGCGTAGCGCATCGGCCAGGTATTTCGATCTTGAGGGTACGTGAAATGTGCATCAATAGGGCCCGTATCTTCCGTAAACGATTTCTGAACACCGTAAATTCTACACGTAACACAAAAAGCACCGTTTCCCGCCGGACGAGTGTTCTAATACTCGAGATTACAGCGAAGGGTTTAATAGAGATAACCTAGCACGAGAAGCTTGTTGCCGTACACTTCTTTAACTAATCTTCCTTTCCTACCGTTGAACACACTGCTTTTCACTACTTGAAAAACACTCGAAGCAAAACATTACGCTTAACGATAATTGCAAACGTACGGAAACGAATTTGTACCGATAATTTCCAAGTACGAAGCACGCGCACGTCTAATGCACTGGCGCCCAAAATGCGCCACCTGTGACCTGCGTTCGAATTAATAAGTTGCAACCGCATGACGCATTTACATGAGATTCCTATGAAAAAGCGCCCTCCTTACGTATGCGCATTTACATCGTCGATGTACTCTATGCCTCGGTAAACGGAGTCGTCTCGAGACATTGACGTTAATCGGTCGGTAATAGGATTAGTCCTCGAACCCTAATCCGTGTCGCCATATCGACAGAGGGGGGACGTGGTACGGGATCGGCGATTGGTCGCTTTTCTCGCATATGCAAATGCACTTACCTTCTCTCTCTCTAACCGTGGTTTCGTTGCAGCAGTAGTAGCCGGTACACGCGAGGTAAAAAGGCGCGCTCGCGCCCGCGAGCAGAGAACTCGCCTTTCCTTGCCGGGCGGAGCCGCGCGTGATCCGCGTTCCTTTGCGATTGGAGCTTCATTCCCCACCGACGCTGCTCGTTTCCCCACCAGCATAAGCGTCCAGGCGTTCGTCCGCTGCTTTCCGATCCACTCTATTCTCCTCGTCTCTCTCGCTGCCTTTCCAACCACGGTACGTGTTCTTTCGTCTCTTTCGCTCTTCCAACGACACCCCCACTTCGTGTTCCACGGTCCGCGTACGCGTCCGCGTTCCCCGTGGCCGGTAGGCGGCCGACCGGGCGTACGTGGGCCCTCTAGTGTAGCTGCACACATGCACGCGACAGCATCTGACCGTCGTACCAGCCGCCGCAGCCGTAGCTGCCACCGTCGTAGCTCGTCGCGGATGCTCGTGTGCCTGCGATAAACGATACTTGGCCTCTTTCCACGATCTCGCACGGCGAAAACAGCTCGATTCTCGCGAGGGGAAAGCCGACGCGCACCGGTCTTAACTCTCCTTAACCTATGACGAAACGAACCAGCACGTGTCGCTGGCGGAACCATCGGAAATATTGCGAACGTCCACAGTGAAACGTGATAGCGTAATATACAGTGACAGTTCGAAACGAAGGAGCCCACGGGGATTCTACGACACACACGCGTACAGATATTTGCAATCGAATATGCTCGCGTTCATCGCGGTGGAAAGCATCGAGATTGTTCGCGAGTTCACCGATGGGTGACGCTGTGTCTGACGCGTGGATGACAGGTGAGAGAGAGAGAGACACTGCTGTTATTAAGGATTTTCAAATATTCGCGGGCTTCGAGGGGGCACGGTTCTGTCACGTCGAGAACACGCGAGTGGTGTAGCCCAGGCAGGCGTCGTGAAGAAAACGGAACAGCTGACAGTTGGCGCTGCTTGTAATTAGAAATCAGCAGTCAGTGATCAGAAGTCGGTGTTCGTGTTCGACAGTCGTATATCCGATGACAGGTGAATTCCACGGGAAACGGGGCCAGGAACTATGCGATAGTAAGCGACGATACGCTTGTCACGCTGTGCCCATCTAATAACTGTATATATATACACACACACACACACATATATATGTCACAAGGAGTGTTCGGTTTTTAATGGACGCGAAGGGTAATATATATATATACACACACACACACATATATATGTCACAAGGAGTGTTCGGTTTTTAATGGACGCGAAGGGTAATCCGTGTTAACGAGTGTCCCTACGAGACCGGTGTACCGTGCCAGACTGGAGTATACGTCCTTTGCGTGTTGGAGGAACATATCTGTGTACGTTTGTCAGTGTAGTGTTTCTGTAGGAATATACTGTGATAACACGGAAGGATAACACGAAAACATACGAGAAAAGCATAGATTTCACCTTCGATATCCAAAGAAAAGTAAATAACACCACGTACCACGTCGTATGTTGAAAAAGAAAGTGTACAATACAAAACAAACCCGAGAGTGTGAAAGCGATTCGCAGCAACAACCAGACATTTCCTTTCGAAACTCGTAGGCGGTGGGAATAGTGAATCTTCTGAAATAAAAGCGAGTCAGTTGGAGGTGACCACGTTGGATCTCGCGGCGTTGGCTGCTTACGGGGGCGTTTCGGGACCCAGGGTCGCGGTGGCGGGCACCGGGGTCCTCGCGCTGCCCGGCCTGATACCCGACAAGGGTTTATCATCGCCCGGAGGTCAGTCTAAGGGAAAGTCCGCAGGGCTGGCGGGCCTCGACAGTGAGGCGGTGCGCCGGTGGGTCGCCGAGGCCGCGCGGACCGTCCGGCAAATTCCGCCTCCGGTCGTCGTACCATCGTCTAGCTCGCAGCAACAGCAGCAACATCAACATCGACATCAGCAGCATCATTCGATTCATCGGCAACGGCAAGAATCGAGCCCGCCGTTGGTGGGCTCGTCGCCGTTCGGTTTGCCGTCCTCGATGACGCAGACACCAAGTATGCATCTGCTGGAGAACAACAACCTGGTGGAGGTTGCGATGGCTCAGCAACAGTCTCAACAGCAGATGCAGATGCAGCAACAGAAGCAGAAGCAGACCAGCCCTACGAACAACAACACCATCGAAGCTTGGAGGTCTATACAGGGCGGGCATCAGTGGTGGAGTCCGCCTAGTAACGTTCATCAGGAGCAGCAAGTATCGCCTATAGGGCAGCAGGTTGTTTCGCAGCCGCAGAGTATGGTTGTCGGGTCCGTGTGCGGGCAAGCACAGAGGCAGTCGCAGATTCATACGGAGATCGATCAGCCTTTGGACTTTTCGGTCGGTTCACTTGAGCAGCAGAGGTTGCATTCGCGGGTGAGGACTATGCACGGGAGGCTGCAGGGTAGGATGCACGATAATAACAACGGTACAGCTAGCGCCGGGCAGAAGATCGCGAGAGGGACCGGGAGCAGGAGAAGTTACAGCCCTAGCGAGGGTAGCAGCAGCAGCAGCGAAGACGAAGGTGTTTCGACCGGTGGAAGTCCGTCTGGACCGCTTCGAGGCACCGAGAACGGTGAGTTTCGAATTGCTGCCTGAACGGTTTATCGCGACGCGTCGTTCCTCGTTTTCGCGGAAACCACGGTATTACCGGCCGCGACGATAGCTAAGCCGATGACGTAACGGATTGTACAATCGTGTGCGAAACGAACGGGTTGGGTAGAGAGATTCGGCGATGCCTGATATCTGCATATGTACTCAACGCGGTTACTCGTACGAATCTTGGAATTTTATTCCGGTGAATTAGAGTGTGACTTTGTTTCGATTTACCGCGGTGATTTCATCGATTCCAGAGTAGAATTCTGTAGGTTAGTCAGAAATTAGACGGTGATGATGAAACTGGATGAATTTCTGACGGTAAATACAAACAATGTTGCGAACGGTGTTTGTTCAGTCATATTAACGCGAACCTACGCTCGAAGTGATCCTACGTTATGTCACGCGAGATTAACTTTAGTGTGTACGGTAGGATTTTCTTGTCTGTAAGGTACAGTTACTTCCAGACGCTTCTCTGTTATGATTTTGCATAAAAATCTCTAGTACGATAGCTGAAGAAACGTCGTACGGTAATGGCGCAGAAGTTAGAATTGTGAAACTGCAGGAAAATATACCGTGTTTGTCACGGTGTGTCTCTGTATTCCCAAAGAGTTGGTTCGGCAACGAAACCGGAGATTCCCGAGACAAACGGACGCGTGCGTCATGCACAGCCGCTGTTTGTTCGTTGAACGAAACACGAAACGATCCTCGTGGATTTTGGGGGAAAACGTAGCGAGCCGTTTCGATCCGTCAGCTGTCAACGGAGCTTCCCTGCTCGCATTTGCCTCGAACCACCCCCGCGCAACCTTGGCGCAAGGCTTTGTTACCCCTTCTGCTACACCTCGTCGAAAATTCCCTCCGATGCATTGTGCATTCGTTCTGTTCCATTGTGCCGTGGCATGAGCGACGCTCGCGAGCTACCGAGCCTTTACCTGAAAACCCTGGCCGGGAGTTTCCTCATTTTTGCTCGTTTCCGTACGCAAAAGCGCGCGCGTAAGGTTCGAAGACGAAAGATCGTTGCCGTTTCACGTTTTACGACGAGCAAGGCGGATTCCCTTTTCAGAAGACGTTCCTTTCGTTCTGCGTTCCTCGTGGCATGCGTGCGTGCAATTCGTTAACGATTCCACCGTACGATAAGGGAATTCCTTGGCGGATAAATTCGTGTAATGCGTTCTCGTTGGTCGAATACGTGTATGCGTGTGGTTAATTGAAATTTTCGCATGGAGGAACAATCGTTCTGTTCGTTATTTCTTCGCGTTACGTCGCCCGATACCTCGATTTTCCATCGTTCTCCGCGCTTATCGATAGACACGAATGCGATAATCTCTCTCTCGCTCTCTCTCTGGCGTTATTCAGTGGAAAGGATATAGTGGTTGTTCGTTTATTGACTCGTTTATAATCGTGTTTATCGAATGAAAAATCGGTATCTAAGCTGATTCCAAGTGCGTCGATAATTTGCGCTTTATTAATTGTATGATTCACGATACGAATGTGCGATATCCTGGATGTGACTTTTTTCGAGCCAACGCTTGTAGTACTGACGATTTTAGTTAATTAAATTGGGAACGACACGTGTTTGGAAATGGAGTAAATGTTCACGCAACGATCAGATAAAGGTAGAGGAGAAAAAGAATGTTCGCCTCGATTTAGCCGCATTCGCTGATAAAGGGTAGAGGGACGGAAGAGTAGAGGGAGGGAAGCTGAAAAAATGCTCGTGTATCGTCCACTCGATTCGTCGTCGATAAATCCGCTGATTATTCCGTAAAAACTAAATATTATTGTATTTATACCTGGCTGTGTATCGGGAGTTATCTTCGGTGTTTATTAACGCGGCGTAACGCGTCGACGCGTTGATACCGCGAAAAATAAGAATGATCGTAATTAAAACGATACCGCGGCGAAGAGCATTATCTGATTCTAAACAGGCTCGATCTTTATTAGTTTCAATAAAATGCAATGTAAATAACGCTATTTCATTGTGCTGATAAGCGTCGCGCTCTGTGTTCGCAACACGTTGCAAACGTGAGCGGAAAGAAAGAATGGACTAACACAGAGTAACGGTCCTCGGCTTGTAATCGTGATTACGTAGGTGAAATTGACCAACTAATTGTAAGTATTATTCATTTCGATAAAACGATATCCAATGGTGTTTCAGATTATGCCTCGAGTAGTGGTGTAGTTAATCGTGAATCCGTGGAAAAACGAGGGAAAAGGATAGGAGGAGGAAAAGAAGGAGAAAAAAATGGAGAGTTATCTTTGATTTCGTATTATCGATAACGACATGAGTATATTAGGTTTAATCCGTGGGCAATTATCGCGTTGGTTCTTGGATGGTTGTGAACCGGCCGGTACACACGGCGGTATCGGGTTGTTGGTAATTGTACGTATGTACGCACTCGCGTGTCTACATAATTGCACTAATATTCAAAAATGCAACGGCAAACAAACGGCGTGGCCGGCGAGGTCGGCGAGAAAAAAATGTTGCCCGATATCGTATCTGTTCGATAAGGTGTTAGGCTCTTCTAAGGCTTGTTTGAATAAATATTCCACGTAAGCGCGTGATCGCGCGGTTATTTTCGATGAGCAACCTGCGATACGACGAAAAATCCATTTTTCGAAGTGAAATCGTAGAAGTGCTTCAGATAATTCCTTCTACCTTATATAACGTCGTTTTCAATGCCCTCCCTCTTCCCTCTTCACCATCTTCAACTTGGTGTTTCACAGAGTTTCGTGGAGTGATCGGTGGTTTCGCGGTTATTATTTACCTGTCACCTGTGTCGTTATCTGTCCGAAGCGGCGCATTTCCCCCTGCCTTGTAATCCCGATTTCACTTTTTCCTCTCGCCCCTTCTTCTTCCTTCTTCGTTTCCAAATTTTCACACGGCACGAAATACTCGTGTTACTCGCGCCAGCTGTTGGTTCGCGCAGCGTTACGCGCGGATCACACCGAAAAGCGTAATTACTTGGTATAGCGTGCCTCCTTCTTTTCGTCGTGCTAATTTATGTTCGATAGGGGAGAATATAATTAATCCTGGCAAGGAACACGCGCAGGACCCGACGTACATATATAGCTTATCGAAGATAGCCGATTGCCAGCTTGGCCAGGCCCAGGGACCTGTTCTCTTCGTCTTGCAGGCCCCACCGTGTATTACCTTGTAACGTGATACGTGTTTGATTCTATGTTATTTACGAGCAGGTGTGCCGCGCAACAATGTTTATCACATAATTCGATTCTATGCTGCGAGCAATCTCTATCGCGGCGTCGGTCCTGAAAATGACGTTTCACGCTGGATGACCCCATACGGGGGGTATATGATAACAATAATTTCCCCCCGATACGCTCTCCATATTGATTTCGTGTCCGTACGACGTCCAACCTGTACGTGCCTTTATTCTCTCCTCTTTTTCCCTTACCTAGAACTCATTGTTTTCCCTTCGTCTTCTCTCTCTCCCCCGACCCCCTCCCCCTTCCCCTTCTTCGTATCTTCTTCCTTCTGGATCACCGTCATTGTTCGTCGTCGTTTCAACGACATATCCTTTTAACAAGCCATTCAGAGAATTTTTTTCCCCCTTTCTTCTTCCTTCTCCGTGCGTGTAACACACGACGAACGTTGCTTCTTCGTATCTCTCTCTCGCACTTTTCTCTCTTTTTTCTTCCACGTTCGTTTAGTGCGCGTTGTAAAACTGAAAATGAGATAATGATCGTCGATCGATCGGCAATCTTGCGACTTCTGCTAATTATATACCGCGGCGAGCCGGCTACGTGTAATTAATTATGATAATATTTGATGGTAAGTAAATCACGTCGAACGCTCCGATGTTATTATATGCCCTTTAACAGTTTAATTACCGACCACCGGATGTTTATCGCCGATGAATCGTTGCTAATCTGTACCTTAATAAATTCGCGATCGATGCTTCCGTCTCGGGATCGATTCGACGCAACGAGAGGACCCAGCCATGATAGATCCTTAAACGTTTCTTTCTTTTACACTCTCCCCCTCGTTTACTCTTTCACTTACGATACATCCGAATTTAATTCCCTTTACAGAACGAGACAAACGCACGGAGAGAGAAGATATTTTTTTTTTTTAGACTCGGGAGTAATTACTAGCGGAGTTCGTTCGTTAGCGAGATCTTACGGGCAGAAGAAAACGAGTTGTTCCCGAGACTCTCCCGAGTGCCGTCGGATCACTCGCGTGCGGAAAATTAGACGGCCCCTTGCCCGATACGCAAGAGTACTCATCGTGCTCCGTTCTCTCTTTTTCTCCCTTCCTTTTCGTCCATGATCTTCACTGATCTTCGAGTTTCGTGTGCCGACGACAGTTCCCCGAAGTCGTTTCTCGCCAACAAAACCGACCAACTTCCAGCACCACCCGAGACTTTCCTTCTTTCTTCCTTTACTTAACATTTTCATCGCGACGATCCCTTCTGCGATCTTGTATCCGCAATAATGGGATTTTCTGAGTAAATTTGCGACAGAAATAGCGAGTTTACGTTGAATCAAACTCGATGTTTGGTCTGAAATTTTAGCGAACGAAACGCTCCTTTGAGTTTCGATTTTTATTCCTCGATGCGGTAACTTATAGTAGGGTAATTCAATGAAGAACACCGTTTGAAGACACTACCGAAGCTCTAACCCCAACGCGGTTCTTTCAGCCAGTACACGAGGAATCGTAAAAAGCATGCAAAGGCTCTATTCCTGATTAGCTGGAGCAGATGTGTACACAGTGGTTGGATCGCAAACATCATACTATCTCCTCCGTAGCTCCAAGTGCAGTTTATTTCGAGCGTTGTACATAAGCAACTATGCAATCGAGGTCTCAATCTCCATTCTCAACATCTCTCTCTCTCCCTCTGTCTGAAGTATGGTCGAATTCGATCGAAACTGGACTCGAATCCTGGCGACAGATCTGAAACTCGTACACTGTTCTGTAGCCTATCCATCGGGTATCCCACATGTTGTTCGATGCGAAAAAAG